GCAGGGTCACGTTGTTCCTGGGGCACAGTGATCCCTGGGGATGGTTGTTGTCCCTGTGCGATAGGGACACCCCTTTGGGGCAGGCACTTTGTCTCCTGGCACACCAGGAGCGCTGGTCATGCTGATGTCCTCCATACATCAGCTTGTTCAACCTGCTCTGTGTTGCTTCCCGTGCACAGGAATCGGCGTTGCCCAACACAGTCAGTTACTCCTTTGCCTTTATTGTTCACCTGCATTAGGCTGGCTTGAAAGAGGATCTTCCTGATCTCACACGTTGTCCCATCCTTTCTCAGCCCATTCCTGTTCCTCCGATCCCCAGTGTTGTCACTTTCCTCCTCCTTTTCCCTACTCTTAACAGCGCCTTTTGGCTTGACGTCTTCAACACGTTTCATTTCTCACCTTTCTTGGGAGAATTTTGCTTTGTTCCATTTGTAACATCCAGGGGCCTCAAGATGGGTGTTTGCAAGGACAAGCGAGCTGGGCTTCTGTTGGCTCAGTGTTACAAAGAGATGTAATTGTTAACGATTCCCATTCCATGCCTCCCAAAGGATAGAAGTGATGGCCATGCTGAGACACATACCAGACCAGTTTAATCATCAATAATTCTATTGTATTACAAGCCAATCTTGTATTACAAGTACAGTGAATGGTGAATCTTAGACCTAACCCTGCTAACCGTGCAGGCTTGATCCATTTTGGGTCTCATAATAACCTCTTGCAAGACTTCTTGCATCAAAGCCATCTCCCAGCCATGACTGCTGCATGTTTACTCATCTCAGCTGCCTCACTGCATTAAGGTAGTGCTTGAGAACTAGGAACACTTCCCATCTGAGGAGAGGAAAAGGCCAGATGATTGTGCCCAGGTTCAAAAATCTCCAATCTGATATATACTGAGGTATTAAATAACATGGGGGATTAAGTAACATTGCTACATACCTCTTGGCATTGCATGTAGAAGGATGCTGGCACCTTCCTCTGGGACAGGATCAGCCTCTGCATGGTGCAGAGGCATACTATGTGCTGGCTCCTTGTGCAGAGATGCTACTAAGGAGGTGCCAGGGAAGGAAAAGGAAGGATTTGTTGCTGTTCTGTGATTTCCCAACCCTGCTTTCGAACCATCAGTGGCGTTTTAACCTCTAGAGGGCAGAGAAGGAAAGAGAAAGAAAGGGAAAGGGACATGGGCAGAGGTTTTGTTAGGTACATGCAGAGCAGTAATGGCTGGAAATGGTGTGGTCCTCAGATTCAGCACTCAACTAGGGTGCTCAGCATGTGTGTCACTATCTGTTCTTCCTGCTCTGTGCTCCTGAGGTCAGATAGATATTTCCAAGTGGCTTTTGGTCTTCTGAGAGCCTATTCACACTTGAAATGGTGTGATAGGTGCTCTGGGTCCCTTAAAGCCCATGTTCTGCACCCAGTAAGCTGCTCAGCCCATGACATCTCCCTGCGGCTCCTCCAGCGGTGGTGTTTCCATGCCCTGCTCTTCTGCAAGGTCCATCCCACATCCATCCTGTGTTGAGAGGAAACCTCTCCCTTTCCTATCCCCAGGTGATAGAGCCGTGGTGCTGCCTCCTCCTGCGTCAGGGCTGCCCTCCCAGCTACTGCACAACTCCCGTTCCCATAGGAAATGGAGTCCAAGGTCTCCGAAGGCGGCCTGAATGTCACCCTCACCATCCGGCTGCTGATGCATGGCAAGGTAAAGGGGGTTTCCTCACAGCTCCCTCTCCCACATGGTGCTCATGGCTCCTAATCATAGAATCCCAGCCTGGTTTGGGTTGAAGGGAGCTTAGAGCTTCTCCAGTCCCAACCCACTGCCATGAGCAGGGACACCTTCCACTAGAGCAGGTTGCTCCAAGCCCCTGTGTCCAACCTGGCCTTGAACACTGCCAGGGATGGGGCATCCCTGCCCCCTTGCCCTGTCCTGCTGGACACAGGGTGCCCCAGGTCTTTGCTTCATGATGGGGTTGGGCTGGATTGTCTTTGTGTTTTATAATGTTCATGCCTTTGTGTTTGGTTTTTCCTTTCTTTAGGAAGTTGGCAGCATCATTGGAAAGGTAAGGATGGCTTTTGAATGTGGATTTCATTCTATCACCTGCACCATTTGCTACCTGTGGTGTTGTAGATGCTGGTCACCTTTTCCCTGTGATGCCCTTAAGTGTTTTGTGTGCATGAGCTTGTTGCTATGAGAGAAATGATGAGAAACCCACAGAGGAATCAAAGACTATTCTTCTAAAATAACCCAACCCAAAACTAACCTAACACCATTCCCAGATGCTTCCCTGGGGTCGTACATAGGTGTTTATGATCATTTTGCCCTGGAATTTTACTTAAATAGCTTCATTAAGGTAAAAATGCCATGCAGGCCCATTGAAGCTCTGCAGCATTTGTCTCTCCAAGACCTCAGGACACCATTTAGTTGGGCAGAGAAGCTTCACATGGTGCTTTCCACAGTAGTGTGGAAAGTCCTGGCTATCCAAGATTGAGGGGTTTAGTGGTTTGAAAGGGCAGGTTGATAGTGGCAAAAGCTTGCAGCGTGAGCACCTTTCCCCTATATACTTGTGCCTTATTTTTCCATCAGCCTGACCAGCCCTTGAAGGATTCATGGATTTACCTGCTTTATATCTGGGTATAAAGATATTAGATCTCTCCTTAACTACTAGGTCAGAAACTGGCCTCTGAAGGCACAGGGATCAGGGCTACAATGGCTTGAGTTGACCATCACTTGGGAATGGAGGGTCAGGCACCACAGAGCTGCCCAAATGCTTGGCTGTGCATTGTCACCTATTAGAGAGATGTGTGTTTGGAAGGGTTGTGTTTGAAGGTGGAAGTCTTAATAGTAATAGCCTGTGCTTCTGCTTCTTGTTTCAGAAAGGAGAGACTGTGAAGAAGATGCGCGAGGAGGTGAGCATCTTCTCTGTACTATGATTTGGAGGAGAAGGAGACCACTGGGGTCTCCTGGCCAGAGCTGCACGTTGCAGTAACTCCCAGGGTCAGACAGATCCAATTTTCTCACTCTGGACTCAAATCCCTATTGCATTTAATGGGAATTCTCTAGAGTCACAAATTTACTCTTAATCAAACATAGAAATTAAGCCACTTCTCAGATGCTTGAGTTTGTCCAAGGTCTTTATGCCTGCAGCTACCAAGGAGTTAACATCAGATCACAAGCAATGACCCCACAAGCTGGTCTTGTCTTGATCATATGTGTTTGCATTGTAGCAAAAGACCTAAAGCAGATACTCGGAAGCCCTTTGTGAGGGTAGGAGCATCACAAGGGGCAGGGTTGGTGACCAGGGACTAGTCTGTGGTTGTGCCAAGGGCTTCTCGTCTCTTTCCAGAGCGGGGCAAGGATCAACATCTCGGAGGGGAACTGCCCTGAGCGAATTGTGACTATCACTGGCCCCACTGATGCCATCTTCAAGGCTTTTGCCATGATTGCCTACAAATTTGAGGAGGTGAGAAACACCAGCCATTTTCCCCAGAAGGGCAGAGTAAAAGGGTCTGTATCCAGACCCTTGGGTAGCTCTGGCATGCCCACTGCTGGGGCCAGCAGTGCAGATAGGTTTGGGTACCTCCAACCCATGCATGTCTGTCTGGACTTGCTGAACTGGTACACGGCCTCAGCACAAAACCTTCCAGACATCTCTAACAAGGCAAGAACTGAGCTTCAGTGAACTGTCCCAGAGGTCTCACAGTGCATTAACTGCAGGGATGCTCAGTGATGCGGCTGCAGACAGAGACCAGCCACAGGCTGAGGGACATGACCCCTCTTCTCTGGCTGAGGGCATTCGGGTTGGCCTTGATGGTCAGGTACCAAAGGCTGATGTGTTGTCCTCTTCCTTCTCAAGGACATCACCAACTCGATGAGCAACAGCACTGCTACCAGCAAACCCCCAGTGACGCTGAGACTGGTCGTGCCAGCTAGTCAGTGCGGCTCACTGATTGGCAAAGGAGGCTCCAAGATCAAGGAGATCAGGGAGGTAAGTCAGACTGGATCTCATTGCATGTAATCACAGCTCCTCAGAGCCGATCCATGACCAAGGGGGATCTGCCTTGGGGAAACAGGATCCTTATTCTGCTAGCATCACACATCGCTTCCCAGGATGCTCCTTGGTGATGCAGGAGCAGCATCCCGTGGGACCTCGCCGCTGTGCTCCTGCTGATGCAGGAGTTCACGTGGCACCAGAGCTGGCTTGCAAGGGAAAAGCATTCAGCTGTGGGATTTCTCCTCCTGTTTCTTTCTGTCTCCAGTCCACAGGTGCTCAGGTTCAAGTGGCGGGGGACATGCTGCCCAACTCCACGGAGCGGGCGGTGACAATCTCGGGGACACCCGACGCAATTATCCAGTGTGTCAAACAGATCTGTGTGGTGATGCTGGAGGTACAGTCTGTAACCAAGGGGGTAAAGTACCTAGGAACACAAAAACCATCCCAGCCAGCACCACCAGCAGCGCTGGGAGCTGTGGAGCGTGTGTCCTTCCCTTCACCACGCATTGTCAGACCACTCTCATTGCCTGGTACCTCCGTTTGAAACCCACCCAGTGTGTTTTCCCCCACCATTGTCTATTGTTTCTAGAGGCCCACACTGGAAACCTGCTCGGTTGGATGGCCCAAAGGAGATGGTTTGTGTCGTAGTGCAGCACGGATGGGTGCCAGAGGAGGCCAGGCGGTGGGAAGGGGATGGGGGCTGCAATCGGTCCACCAAGCACCCGGCCTCCTCTATGTAGGGCTCACAGTGCCCCATGGCTGGGAGGAGGAAGAGGAGGAGGAGGCCGGTGCATCCTCAGCACTGGGGGAGCTGGAACTGGAAGCATAAAGCTGGACTGAGTAAGGCACAGCAGGAGAAGTAGTGAGGAAGGCTGGTGGAGAGCAGGGTCTGTAGGGTGCATGGATGTGTGTCCAGGGTGCCTTTTGTGACGAGCAGACCTTGGAGATCTCTGCCATGGATAGATGCTTATTGTCAAGGATGACTGCAGCCGTATGCCCTGTGAACACCTCAAGATGGGAGAAGCTCCATGAGGAAACGCTTTGGGACACAGGACGGTGGCACCCTCCACTCCTGTTGCCTCTCAGACATAGACCCCTCTCCCTTGCTGCCTCCTTTGGCAGGGAGGAGCGCATCTGCCACTGCAGAATGTTTGGATGAGGATGGCAAGGCTTGGTGGAGGTGAAGCAAACCCAGATGTGAGCAGCTTCATTTTGGCAGCAGCACAGCTAAGAAGGAGTTGCCACAAGCCACCCACCATTGCTGGTAGTGATGCTCAGGCAGGTAAACTGCTGCCGGGGGGTGCACTTGTAGCTGCACAGTGACTTTCAGGTTGTGCTGCTGTTCTCCCTGGCAAAGGCAAGAGGCACTGCTGTTCTCTATGGCTCACAATGGGAAAGAAGCAAACCTTGGAGTTTTCTTGCAGTCTGAAGTGCCCTGAGTTGATCAGCTCACAGAGATGCTCCTTGTAACCTTTCAGGCTTAAATCCTCACTCATCCCCACCAAGATTTGTCATGCGATAACAGAACAAGCAGGTTTGTGGCTATGGAGGCTGTGCTTTGGTCATGGAGCTTTACTGCAGACCTGTGCTTGGCAGAAAGATTTGGATGTGCCACTTAGCTACAAGTAGACATCTAGAAGAATGTACAGGAAGATCCCAAAAAGAAGAATTTTCCATGAGAAAGAGTGATTTCTATTGCCTGTCCTTCCATAGCAGTGACTGAGTCATTTCACTTCGGGTAGAACAAGGAGGGTTTTATCTGGAATCTCTCCTGATCCCTGGAAACCTCCATAATATCTCCTGTGGCCTCAAGAGGAAACCAACAGAGATGATTTGGGTGAGAAGATCCTGTGCACTGCACAGCGGGATGCATCGTTACAGCCTGATGTGCATCACTACAGCTTCTGCTCCATCCTACCCAGCACTGCTCAGGCCACAGCAGTGAGGAGCAAGACAGAGAGGGGCAACCCCAGGTGATGCTGCCATAGGAAGAGGGCTGGGAGTGTACATGGGTTGGTGTCTGTGCAGCTGGTATCTGGCTGCTTACAAGGACCACTACCACCATGCAGCTCTAGGATAAAAACTCTGGACACTCTCATTGCCATCTGAGAGGGGTTTCCAACCTCTGGCTCCTTCAGGGCTCAGCAACCTAGCCAAAGTGCTCACTGTTGTCCCACTAGGGTGTTGGGAAGTCTTGACCACAATGATTACATCTTACAGCATCTGCTGCACGACCATCCCTGTCTCAGCTTGGATGCTGATAGACCAAACCAAGTCCTGAAGGTGACCCTGTGAGGAAGATGAGAGGGGTCAAAGAATTTGAGCATCATGCTGGGTCACTCAGAGAGGCTGCTCACTCCTGATGCCCATGCTCACAAGGCTGTCCCATAGCTCCTGGTACTCAGTGGGGCTGGTGTGACTCCAGGACAAGCAGTTGACATGGAAGAGCTGCAAAGAAACCCACTGCATGGGACTGATTAAAGGCCTGGTCCATGGGTGTAGCTCCCCATCTTCATAGAATCATGGAATGGTTTGGGTTGAAGGGACCTTAAAGCTCATCCACTTCCAAACCCTGTCATGGGCAGGGACATCTTCCACTAGAGCAGGTTGCTCCAAGCCCCTGTGTCCAACCTGCCTACTTGAAGGGTCATCCTGGGGTGTTTGGAGGAAGGTGCTGCCTTCCAGTGTCAGGCTGGATCCTCGACCAGGCGAGGAGGTTTGTGGCAAGCAGAGTGAAGGTGACGGAGGCAGCGGAGGGCTGGGAAGACACTGAGGTGCCCACATTGTCCTTGTTGTCCATCAAACACTCGCTTTCCCTCGTGTCCTCCTGTCCGGAAGCGCGGTGTGCCTGGTGCGGGTGTTGCTGGCAGCGGTCCCCGGGGGCCGTGCTCCTTTAGGTGCTTTCTAACGCTCTTTTTGCCGCCGTTTCAGGAAAGCTGGTTCTAATGTTCTCTCTCCCTCTCCTTGTCCCTTTTCCTAGTCCCCACCAAAAGGTGCCACCATTCCCTACCGCCCAAAGCCCGCCTCCACCCCTGTCATTTTTGCAGGTGGTCAGGTAAGAGCCGACCCGCTTGCAGCCTCCACTGCCAACCTCAGCCTTTTACTGCAGCACCAGCCGCTGCCCGTTAGTGCACTCAGGTTTCTTGCCTTCTCACTTGCATGGTGTCATCCCATCCATTGCATGCCACGGCAGCTGGACTGAAAGCTCTTGGCAGAAGCAGGTTAGATGTTCTTGCCTCCTGTGATAGCTGCTGGAGGATGAAAGGGGCAGAGCAGGGTGTTAGCTCTGCCAGGCACTTGCGCACTGAGGCTGGGGTTTGCTTCATGAGACCCAAATTCAGTGTTTGCCAGCAGTTGCCACTGTAATAAGTAAAGCCTTGTTGAGCAAGAGGCTGTGACCGAGCTCTCATAGGGGCTTTAAGTGTTCATTTTCATTTTCTGGCATCTCTAGTCCAGTTAAAAATCACAGAACCCCAGACTGGTTTGGAATGAAGGGACCTTAAAGCTCATCCAGCTCCAACCCCTGCCACGGGCAGGGACACCCCCCACTAGAGCAGGTTGCTCCAAGCCCCTGTGTCCAACCTGGCCTTGAACACTGCCAGGGCTGGGGCAGCCACAGCTTCTCTGGACAGGTTAAAGCCATCCCCGCCTTGTCCTGTCCCTACAGGTCCTTACCAAAAGCTCCTCTCCAGGTTTCTCATCAGCCCCTTTAGGGATTGAAAAGCTGCTCTAAGGTCTCGCCATACCTAAAAGGGTATTTCCTTTCTCCCCAGCCACAGCAAACAGCAGAAGGACAAACTAAGGAGGGGAGCAAAGCCTGAGGCACAGGCTATTTCGGGCAGCGTGCTGAATTAGCATCTTAGTCATTGCCAGCATCAGGAGGAGTGTGTCATTTGTTTCTGAGCAGCCGTCCTGGAATAGAGCTTTGAGTCCAGCTGCTTGGTGAACTTCTCTTCTCAAAAGGGAGAGTAAGGTGGAGGTAGCGTTGCTTCTGTGGGCGAACTGTTGGTGTCTTGCACAGAAGTGAAGCTGCGGGATGAAGCAACTGTCTCTGAAACGAGAGGTGTCTTGAGGGCCCTTGGCCATGGCAGAGGAGAGCAGGCGCCAGTCAGTAGTGCTGTGAGGTGCTTGGGGTGGGTTGGAGCTGCAGAAAAAGTGGCAGCTACCAAAGGGGTCAGTCCCATCATCATGTGGCCGAAAGCCAGGGCTCAGGCAGGCCGGTGCTGTCAGAGTTGAGTTGCATCTGTCCAAGACACCTTCCCGCCTTTAATCAGCTGTTTCTAATCAATTTTCCTAATTAATGAACAAATTGGACCTTTGGGAAAGACCACTTTGTAGAGCAGCCTCTGCTGTGTCCCCGTGGACACACTGGCCCCCATCCCACTGGGATGCCAGCAGGCACTGGGACCATTGTTTCTGTACATGGGGCTTTTCCTCTTTCCTCTTCCTCCTCCTCCAGGATTTGGGGTTTTTTCCTCACACAAAGCACTCTGCTGTTTGCAAGCAATGTGGTGAATTTGCAGGAGCCTCAGAGGGGTTCTTGCCTCTTCTTGGCTCTCTTTACTCTCCCTTTTCCAAGTGTTATCCATCTCTTTTGCCATTTCTTTTCAGAATCACCTGAATGATGTGTCAACCAGTGAGATATGTTTTGCTCGCTGGTTAAGTCCTAGGTGTTGGGCTCTCTAGGGTCTGGCTCTTCACCCATAGTGGTGCTCCTTTTCAGGTTCTCTACAAAAGAGAAAGGATTGCGAGCAATGGGAAATACACTAAATAATTTGCCTGGCAGACATCTGCATGGATTTATCAGTTATAGGTGGCATTGCAGTGCAGGCAGCCTGTCCCTGAGCCCTCTCCACGCTTGGGGAGATATCAGTACCAGTGGCTTTCTGCATGGCAATGTCTTTCCCCCCCAGCAGAGCACTGGAATAGAGGCAAAGCATGTTCAGAGTTATGCACCTGGAACTATGGATGGACTCGCCACGCTGGCTTATGGTTAGGTGTGAAGGGCAATGGTAATGTTACTGTGCAACCACTATACAAGATAATGCTCGTTTCATGCATCTCTTTTATATAGCAAAGTGCAATCACAACCTTGTATTCCTGCTCCATGTGATTCTGTTACCTTTAAAGAGCTGTTTCTTTCCTTTTGGAAAAGCCAAAGTGAACCCAAGCCCCTGAAGTTAGGCAGCTTAGCATGCTCCAGGTTTGATTGAACCATAGAATGGATTGGAAAGGACCTTAAGATCATCTATTTCCAACCCCTTGCCATAGGCAGGGACACCTCACACTAAACCATGTCACCCAAGGCTCTGTCCAACCTGGACAGGAGATGTGGCAACCTGGATTGGAGGTGTACATCTCCCACCCCAAGGACTCACTGCCCCAAGGGCATTTAGTGTGGCACAGGGGTTCCCTCCCCATGGGCTAGCCATGGCAAATGCTCGCTGCATGGTGCTTCCCTCATCCTAACCTCAAAATGAAGCTGCTTAAGCCAAGATCTAGGGTCCTGCACCCCTCTTCCACTAACAGCAGAGTAAGGGGAGGGGAGTGATGGAGTCTCAGTGGGTCGCAGGCAGAGCAGGGTGAGGGCTGAGCCCTTTAGCCCCTGCAATCCCAGCTTTTACCCAGTATCAGGAAGAAAGGAGGAAAGCCCAGGGAGAGCCATCCCTGCGGAGACACGGGGCTTTGCACTCGGACCCTGCCAGCCCTAATAACATCTTCTTTTCTTTTGCAGGCCTATACAATTCAGGGACAATACGCTATTCCACACCCGGATGTGAGTTTTACCCTCATTTCTTTTCTTCTACCCTTTCATGTCACCTGCATGCTACTGTGGATTCACAAGATATTAATATTAGACATTAATATTAATAGCAGATTTTCCAAGTTAACTGGCCGTGTGTAGTATCTGTAATACCTTCAATAGCCTTTTAACCTGTTAGCACCAAACTTATTCTGAGGACTTGGCCTGATGCTAAATTGTTTGCATTGTTCAGTGCTATCCCTTTTTCTTTTGGAGAGAAACCATATTCTATGCATTTTGTGCCTCAAAATGATCAAAACAAGTGAAAACAGAAACAACTTTCCCCTCTATTTCCTTCTTCTTCTTCAGATGCTGGTAAGACAAGGGCTTATTTAGGTGCTGAGTACCTTGGTGGGGTGTGGAGACGCCAGAGCTCCAGCACTAAGTGGTTTCTTGCTTGAAGCCTTGGCAGGGTGATGTGTCTTTTTGGGAGTGCTCCTCTGGGTAACTCGGAAGCAGTGGCTGAGGTTGGGCAAAAAGCCACTGGCATCCCCTGAAGGGGTTGGGGATGATGGTGCCCACCACGATCCTGGATATCTCACCTTTCTGATGGCTGTGCATCTTCCTTAGGGACCTGGACCCGGACCAAAGAGGTCACCCTGGGTTAATGGCTGTCTCTGGGTGGGTTGGCTCACTCTTACATGGGTCAGGGCATCACAGGCATGGTCCCCACTCGGTGTCGTGCTCTTTGGTGTTGGAAACAGGCTCCACTCAGACTTGCAGCGTGGATGGGTTTTGCTGATGCTCGGATCCCGCTGATGCTGGGGTTGGTCAGGGAGCCACAGCACATGTAGGGAACATCAACTGGCACATCTGCATGTAAAAGTACCAACAGAAATAGCAACCAAGTCTAACTGGAAGGATTTCTCTATGAGAAGCAGCAGTGAAGCACTGCAATGCCAGCAGCTCCTTGGGGTTGTCACTGCTGACGCATGCCAGAGAGCTCTTGGAAAAAGCCAGGGTGTTTCTACATGTGTTTCAGAGGGGATAAAATTCCCAATGAATTCCATTGCAGAGGCTCCTTCATGCTATGAGTCCACAGGGCTGAGCACTAAGTGCCACTCTGGGGATGCACGTCAGTTGTAAGTGGTGTGGTGTAGGTAAAAAGCCTTCTCCAGCCATCCCACACATAACATGATATAACTTGGTATTCCTCCTTCTTATATGTACTTGGGTTTTAACTCATGGGATTCCTTTTTGCATGACTGAGAACAGGGCAAGGCTGTTGGATACCACGGATGCGTGCTCCCCATGGGAACTGTTACGACCTGTAGGCTGGATTTTGGTCTTAGGAACAATGATTTCACTCAGTTTGGTGGAGGTCGGGCTCTGGCTTTCCATGCAACACCAGTGTGCATGTGCTTTGAATAGCCTGCTGTGATAGCTGCTAAGAGATACTCTTAATTGTATGCACTTCACTTCTGCTCCCTATATATAAATAAATACACTTGCATATGTAGTGAGGGGAGGCCAATATATTCTCTGTCCCAGTTTTCTTTAGCAAGTGGTGCTGACAACTTAGTGTTTTCTTTATTCAATTCCTCTGATTGACAGGAATAAAATACATTAAGTCCATTTGCTGGCTGCTCTCAGCCCAGCTCCCAGCAGACGGGACCTGGAAAAGGTGGTTCCTACAGGGACCATCCTGACTCTCATAGCACTCTCCCAAGGATTGGTCATTTTAACCAGTGCAGAATCCAGTCTTGAATGTGTTCTTAGGGCATTGCCCTTGCGGGTGTCTGTGTTTAGAGGATGCCTTTTGCAGCCTCATGACTGCAGAGCAGGCAGGATTTTGAACGCCAAAGCTGAAATGCAGGCACCTGCCTTGATTTTCTCCCCTGGGAAAACACCCCAAACAACAGGTCAAGCATGAGTTTTGGCTCACAGACATTGTGTGGGTACTCATAAGCTGTTCAGAACGTGATGCACAGCTACCTGCCTTCATGAAATCTGTGGTGGGAGGTGAAAGGATGCCCATGGAAGCCTGGAGTCAGGGGTGTTTGGGACTGGAATTCATGTAGAGCACAGGAAAGCTCTCCCTAGCTCGGGCATCGCTGCCAGGTGTGCCCCATGAGCCCATGAGATGTACCTGGGCATTGCTGTGGGTACATAGTGATGCTCGGCGTGCCTGTACATTGCTCCCAGCACTGCTGTCCTGTCCTGACCTGTTTCCCCCACCAGCGCCTCTGGTCTGTGGAGAAAAGCAGGGTCTGAAGAGTTGCTCTCAGGGTTTTGCTTCTAGATCTTTCCAGGAAACGGGAGATGTGTTCTGTGCCCCACGGAGCAGCGTTTGCTTTAATACCTCGGCGTAGCCATCCCCTCGTCTTGTAGGCTTGTTTTTTGCTGTTATTGTGTGTGTTTGCTGAATGCCACTGTCCAAACTGTATCTCAAATATAGGTTAAATCAGTATTAGAAAGGACACTGGTGTTTAGCCCACTGGGCAAAGCAAGACCCTTCCCCAGGACACAGTTGGGGAAGGTGATGAGATTTAACATCCCTTCCAACCTAAACCGTTCATAGAACCCCAGCCTGGTTTGGGTTGAAGGGACCTTAAAGCTCCTCCAGTTCCAACCCCTGCCACGGGCAGGGACACCTTCCACTAGAGCAGGTTGCTCCAAGCCCCTGTGTCCAACCTGGCCTTGAACACTGCCAGGGATGGGGCAGCCACAGCTTCTCTGGGCACCCTGTGCCAGCGCCTCAGCACCCTCACAGGGAACAGCTTCTGCCTTAGATCTGTTCTAAATCCCCCCTCTTTCATCTTGAAGCCATCACCCCTTGCCCTAGGTACCATAACACACCTTTAGCTTCTTTTCCACGCTGCACAGGGGAAAGATGTACATGCACCTCTTCGCTTTGGGCTGCGAGACCTCTCCCCTGAAGCTCTCATCCCTTTGCCAGGCAGAGCTCCCTCGGGTACCTCCCTAGCAGGGACTTGCAGGCGTTTCCCTACCCATTGCCTCCCTGCATTCTCTCCCCTGTGTGCTCAGCCCCCTGGGTCTGCTCTCTCCAGTGCTTCCCCCTCACTGCTGCTGGCCAGACCTCCCCACCAGCCATGCTGGAGGAGCAAGGAAGGTTTTGAGCATCGTTTCCCCCATTGAAATTGTAAGTCCTGCCTCTCCCTTGCTGGGTGCAACAAGCAGTTTATGTTTGGGGGGTGATGGGATCCTCACAATCCTTTGAGCACCCATGATACGGCCAAGTGGGAAGTGAGGAAGACTCCTTCCTGCTCGCTGCTAGGCTTCAACCTGGTTTGTTTTGTTTTCTTTTGGTTTATTGTTGGTTTTGGTTCTGTTTGGTTTCATTTTTAAGTGTGGAGCAGTGGAACAGAGCACAAAATGTATTCCAAACTAACTCCTCTCCATGCAACCACTTCCCGATGGGGCATGAAAACCTTACCTGAGCACAAGGGATACAAGGATCTGAAATACCTACTGGTCGTGGCTGAAGCCTGTATTTCCTCATACTGCTCAAGGGCTTCTGCTTGTAATGAGCTGACAGTAAGAGCCACAGATTGTCCATCACCCGGAGGTGCTTCCCCATTGGAAATGATGCTCATGATGCAGCTCCAGCATCACCAAGAGGGTCTTCTGGCTGCTGCCACTTGGTGCTCACCAGCTTGGCAGTACCTTTGAGATGGCTTCTCTGCTGTAAAGCTAACCTGAAGTGAGCAGCAGCCTCTGGTCATAGGTTGTGCAATCAAGGAGGGAAAGGCTGGTATCGTACTTCAGACCCTGACCAAGCACTTCTGCAACAGATTTGGGCTCTATTGCGTTTATACCCAGGCCAAGTCCTTCTGCTAATGTTTCTGCCATGCCTCACCATGGCTTCCTGGTTTGGATTTCTTTCTGTTTCCTTTCTTTTCTTCCGTTATCATTTGGTTCTTTATTTTCGGTGTGACTTTGTTGTACTCTATGACAATAACCTTCTTAGCTCTAATGTCCCTCCTACCCCTCAGCAGTTGACCAAGCTCCACCAGTTGGCTATGCAGCAAACCCCCTTTACTCCCCTTGGACAGACCACCCCCGCTTTCCCTGGTACGTACCCACAGCCCTTTCTAGATATCCTTCTCTTTTTACCTGTAGAGTTTCTCTCTCTTTCTAAACTCATGCTATTTAATGGAAGCAAGCAGGGGAAGTAAGACTTGGAAGTTGCAATGTCCACGGGGAAAGGTTAACAGGGAGACTAGATGGATGCTTGGGGGTTATGGTCCTCATGGGTGAGCTGTTTTAACTGTGCATGCCTGGATTCCTCCACGCTTGCCTTGCTCCCAGCTTTGCTGGCTTCCCCAGCAGAAGCAATGAGCACCAGGCTCCCATCCTTCCCATTCCAGGGGAGGCAGCATCCCCTGCCATGCGCTGATCCCTGCTTTCCCATGGAGAACGGCTCGGTGCTGGCTGGGGATGCTGCCCTAGTGTCTATGGGGAGCAGTGGGGACACAGCCCCCCACCAGGGAGAGCGATGGGAAGGATCCGTGGCCATAGGGAGCCGCAGTGACAGGAGGACAACCAGTCCTGGTGTGGCTCAGCAGCTTCATTCCCAAGGCTGGTGACCTGGGAAGCAGGTAGAAGTGCAGGGGATGGAGATAAAGTACCTTTGTTTACTCAGTGGTCAAAGTGCTGGTTGGAAATGCCTTTTCTGACAGTATATTCATCATATTTTGAGCTTCCTAGATGAAGTGACATTGCTTATCTCCTTGAAGGCAAAAGCATTAAACCTCTTTCTTCTTTGCTCTTCAGGAGAAAAGCTGCCCTTACATTCCTCCGAAGAAGCTCAAAATCTGATGGGCCAATCATCAGGTAAAAAACCACAAAGCTACAGGGAAATCAGCAGGCTTCTGTTGGAATATATGATTTCTTGAATAGGACTGTGCCGTTGTTGTGCTCCTGGATAAGCCGTGGTGGTTGTGGAGGAGATGGCAGGGTTTCTTGGTGGGCAGGGAGAGAATGGGCAGCACTGTGCCTGCCAATGTCCAAGAAAAAGAGTGCATTGCCTCGGTGTTTTGATGTTTGCACATTGCCATCCGTGTAATGGGAAGGCATCAGAGCCAGCCCTCTCTCGTTGAATTGTGCATAAACTGTGCTCAGAAACAGTGGGAAGATGCCTGTGGGGACACAAAGGACACACAGTTCTGGCCATGTCTAAGCGAGCTGCGTTGTTAGTGGGACAAGACCCTGAGGATTGATGCTGATGTCAGATGTCCCACACATCCACCCGTATGTGCTGAGTGTTCTTGTCTTTTATAACCTCCCATAGCTTAGAGGAGTTATCCTGAGACACACGTGCCTCAAACCGGTGTGGGGCCATCACCTAACCGTGAGAGCAGACATAGCCTGAGTAAATAGGCCCTACAAGAGTACAGCACATAGACTTCTCCTGATACCAACCTGCCCAGCCATTAAAGCCATGGGGGCTCCATGTGTATATTGGAGAGGGACGATCTGGTAGGCTAAAATAAGCAGTCTCTGGGTAATGGAGAAGGACTGGCCACATTCCTCAATGGCCTTTGTGGTGCAGTACCATGGCACTGTGTGCCCCAAGGGCTTTCAGCAGCTTCGGTGGCATCTGGGTGCAGGACAGGGGATGCTGTCTATGAGCCTAAGAAGCCTAGCCTGCATTTCCAAAGACTCCCGGGTGCCTCAGTGCAGCCCTGCACCCATCCCTTGTGCTCTGCTCCCTTTAGAAGATGTTTTCTGCTATGCCCAGGCTGCTCCTGAGCTGAGCCTCATAATGCATGGCTGAGAGAGAGGGACACCCTGAGGGACATGTCTTGGTGTTAGGTGCAGTCTGCCCTGCCTCTCTGAGGAGGCTTGGTGTGAAAGACAGGTCCAGGACTGGTGAGATGTCCCTTCCAGTGCAGCATGCTGTATAAAGTCAGCACTAAGCATTGCCCACGGTGTAAAACCTGGGCAGGAGCTGGTTTGTGCAGGCTTTGGCATTAGTAGAAGGGGAGCATAGGGCTGTTGAGTGGAGGATCTGCATCCCCATCCACTGCGTTTCCCCTCCGCTGTGTGGCTCCCAAATGAAATACGTGGTAAAGAGACCTCCAGCAAGCCAACGCCTGTGTGGTGAACCCAGGCCTTGCGTCTCTGGGAAGCTGCATTGGGGAATCATGCATGAGCCCATCAATGTTCCCCTTTCTAGGGGTGATGCTGAAATGGGATTGCCACGTAAAGCTTCGTTTCAGATCTGCTGTGACCATGCTGGTACCCAGGCAGACACCAACTCACACTGCTCCTGGGTTTTAAAACCCGTGTGCTGGACAGAAGCTCCTCTTCCCCACTGCAGAGGGAATTCAGAGCAGCAAAACTTGGCCATTGCAGTAGCTGCTCAGCACGATTGAGGCAGTGACATATTGCCATGTGGCATGAGGAATTCCGTGTGGCTGCTGTCTTACGATGTAGCAGCCCAGCACTTCTAGTGTGCTTGTGCTTCTTTACACTTCTCCCCTCTTTCCTTGGATACAGACATTGCAGTCTCTCATCCTCGCGCACACGCTGCTCCTGAAGTAGTTTCTATCATCTGGATAAGGGGGGGGTTGTAAGTTCCTGTTAGCCACCAGACAGCTTCTCTCTTGCAGATCTGTCATAGGACATCCTTGCTTCAGCATTGAGGGGATTTGATATGGAAACCTGTGGGAGAGGCAGGCTTCGACCTAGGAGTGTTACGGCGTGTTCTCCTCTTACCTCTGGATTTCCGCACGCAGGGTAGACTGCTGGCTCCAGCCTTTCCCGACGAAGAAGAAGGAACCCTCCAGGAGAGGCTGGGAGGAAGCATATTGTTGCTTTAGCTCCTTTGCCAAGTGATTTTGTAGGCTCCATACTGTTTGCCTTTCTTTCCCTTGGGAGTAAGAGGGACCGCTGGTTCTAGGTCCAGCTAGCACACGTGTCTTAGGGGTCAGGCTTCAATTCAGCATGTGGGTCTATGGGGCTTTAACTTGCAAAGGAGCCTCATAGCCCTGTGCTAGCACTGCCGGCTCCCCTGGATTTGGGGTGCTTCTGATGCAACCAAGCAGCCCTGTGCTGCTGTGCTAGAGGGTGTGTGGACAACCCTTCAGCCCTGAGGGATGCAGGGGAAGGTGGCAGCCAGCTCCGTTAGAGTCAGGTAGCAACCATCTTCCCTCTCCTTGTCCCAGAGTGTGTGATCCCCTTCCCCTTCCCAGCCCCGGAGCAGGATGTAACCTTCACAGTGTTGCCTGTTGTGGGAAAGCAGCGGAGCTCCACCACGTGCTGCCTTTGCAAGCTATAACCATTTTCCCCTTGCATGTGCCCAGGTTTGGATGCCAGTCCCCCGGCCAGTACTCATGAACTCACCATTCCCAATGATGTAAGTAAATCCAAGTGCTTCCTCAGCATGTGTGTGTGTGTGTACACATATATATGTGTGTGTAAATACATAGGTAGAAGCTGCAGGCACGTGACTGTTAAACACATTTAGAGATGCCCCTTCACCAGGTTCACTCATACCACGTGCAGTCTGTTGGGGGTCAGCCTGCAGCATAAAGTACCCATTGGACTTCACCCCATTGGTAGACTTCCAAGGTATAATCCTCCTTAATGCTCCTTTTCCTTTTCCTGGGCTCATGAAACATGCCCAGTTGACAGCACTGGGAATGGGAGAGACCTCCTGAGCCAGCCCTGATTAAACTGGAGCTCCTTAATCTAGCACTGGCAGGTCTGAGATGTTGTTTTGGTCCAAGCATAGTTACTGGGGGCAAGGGAGGTGAAGAGGAGGTAAGTAAATAACATTTCTGATGCCACCAAGTGCCACACAAGTGTCTGAAGGACACTGAAGGGACACTGCGTCTCACGTACTGGTGGCAGAGAGCTTTTGGGTCTTGTAGACAGGGGCGTTGTGGTAAAGTGGATGTTGGACTGGGCTATTCGCTGGGAGGAGGCTGGAGTCACACCAGGCGCTGAGCAGTACCAGGATGGTGCTTGGGGATGCTCGGGTGGGAGGAGGTGGGATCAGAGCCCAACACAGCTGGAACATGGATCCATGGGTCTCATTTGCTTCTGGACTGGCCCACTGGTTGATAACCAGCCTGCATTCAAACCAGGATCATGGGAAGCAGGGGCATGACTCCCATTCTCCATCACCTACAAGCACCTTCAGCCTCACCAGGAGTTTCTGATGGGGTCTGGCAGCTCTTGCTACCTCTTCCTGCTGTTGGCCATCATGTGTCAGCACAAAAGAAGTGATTCCCAGCACCTCTGCTGCCACCCAAGAGACATGGCTCATCCTGGCTCTGCTTCTGTCTGTCCAGCAAGGAGCCCCCTCCAGGAGGCTTCAAGAAGCTCTGCAACTGGTTGCAACAACCACATCTGTTGTGTGGGTTGAGCATGGGGAACTGTAACCCTGGCATCAATGGGGGCATCTTCAGGAATAGCAAGTAACCCTCTGCAGAAGGGCCCACGTGGGAAGAAAGGATGCTTGGGGCCTTCCCAGAGGATCCAGGAGCATTTGCCCACCAGAAGCCCAGCTCTCATCAGACCTGCACAGCATGAAATGTCATCACTTGCACCTTCCTGCCTTCAGCAACATGCCTCCTTAGCTCTGCCTCCTGTTGTCTTGAAGGCTTTGAAACACTCCCTGCCAGAGGAGAGGGGTTTGTTTCTTAAAGCAAAGGGTCTACAGGCATGTTCTAGTGGTTTAGATCAGCTTGGGGTTATACTCAAGGAAATGTGATGACATCCATCTTGTTGCTCCTCTGACAGGAGAAATCCGAGTGCTGCTCAGCTTGGGTGTTGCTTGACATCAGTCTGAATAGTTTGGCTCCTCAGGTCTCCCTGCAGGTCCCCATCTAGAAGGTCTTTTCATCTGCTGAAGCATCTCTGAGTTATTTCTGTGCTGTGAAGGCCAGGATGGGTGGCTGTTGGGCCGCACACTCCACTGAGATAGTTGGTGTCTTTTCTCAGCCCTGCAGTGGGATGTGTATTCAGGCCCATATGGGACAAACCACTGAGGTAGCCCCATGACTTGGCAAAAGGATGAGTGAACATTTGGACAAGTAGTTGTCTCCACTTCTACAGTGACAGGAATCCAGCAGCTGCCAAGATGAATGTCCCACATATTGGACAAGAGCTCAAATGCTGATGGCCAAGAGAGGCATGCAAGAAACACCTCGTGCCTGTGTTGGCAAAGCTGGACATCTCACTACGTCTTATCAAGCTGTGAGGGTGCTTGAGAGAACCATATTTGATGCCCAAATGAATAAGAGCAAAGACTGAGGAGGAAAGTCAGCCATTGGGGACCACTGGGACAATTCAAGAGGTGGGCAACTGAGCAAACTCAAGCCTCTGATCTCTTCACAAGAGGGTGAAAGATGGTTTTAAGTAGGATTCTCCTGCTGGTGCCACAGCCACGTGGTGCTCTCCTATACATGCCAGCAAGCCCTTGCACTGCACTGAAGGAGCTAAAGGAGGTAACAGAGGCACCAAGGGTGTCCCAGCAGGGTAGAAGAAGTGTGGGATGGCATGAGCAATGTGAAGCTATGGGTGGTGCACCAGCTGATGAGGGGGCTCCTGGGGTTGGGTTGTCCCTGGGGAAGGTGGTGGTCTTGATTTATAGAATCCTAGAATGGTTTGGGTTGGAAAGGACCTTAAGATCATCCAGTTCCGACCCCCCTGCCACGGTCAGGGACACCTTCCACCTCTTCTGGTAACATGTCCTGTATAACCACCTTTACAAGGGGATAACTATGGAGTTATCCCCATCTGAATTTCTGAGTTTCTCATTCTGAAACATGACTTATCCCCATCCCTGCAAAACATTGGCCAATAGACCATGCAAGTTATGGTCTATGCAAGTATTAGACCAAGATGAGCCCAGTATAACCCCTCGCCCTTCTTAAAGCCCTCTGAGATGCTGCTTATCATGTGCAGACGACTGCCGTTTGCCCCCTAGAGTAGAGCAGGGCAGGTTGCTAGATGTGTCCTGGGCGGACCACGCTTGTGTGCAGGTGGAATTCCCCCCTCTCCTGTTCGCATGAGCATTAAGGTCGCAGAAGGGAGGAAGGCTCTTGGCTGGTGCCTGCCCGAGCTGCCGCTTCTCAGCCGTTCCCCTCCGTGCTTTCTTTCTAGCTAATAGGCTGCATCATCGGACGCCAAGGGACCAAAATCAATGAGATTCGGCAGATGTCGGGAGCGCAGATCAAAATCGCCAACGCCACGGAAGGCTCATCGGAGCGTCAAATCACCATCACAGGGACCCCTGCAAACATCAGCCTCGCGCAGTACCTCATCAACGCCAGGTGAGACCCCCTCCCACCGCCAAACCCGTTCCTGACGGCGTGGTTGGGAGCCAGGAGGGGCTTCCTGAGGCCGGCTGGGATGAAGGGTGGCTTCTGAGCGGGGACCGGATGGCACCAGCAGGACCTCTCCAAAAAATTTGGCTGAGGACCCACCACTCCTCCTCGCTCAAGGATTTATGCTTATGGGTGGTCAAAATCGCCGCCGTCTTTTCCCCCTGTGGATGAGGCAGAGGATGGGGATGGGGATGGAGCTGAGACAAGTGGTGGGGAGGCGTCGCTCGGGACCTGCTCGCTGGGATCCCAGCATCTCTTAACTGCCACCTCAGAGCCTCTTCCGCCGTGCTTCCAGGCGTCCCAAAGGCTTTCCTCCATCCAGTGAATAGAATCAGTCCAATAAATGCAAGACATGGGAACGGCCCGATTGCTTCCTTTTCATGCTCAAAGAGCTTGGTGCAGCAGGACGTTGTGGAGGCCAAGGGTTCCCAGTGCTGCATCTGGCTGAGGGGGGATGCTGCCTGTGCCTTGGGGGACCAGGGCACCTGCGAGAGACTACAGGGGAGACGTAACTGGAGAGAGGGGTTGGGGACCAGCTCCATGCTGGTGGTGAGCTCATGCAGAAGTGGTTGTGTGTCTCTATGGACTTGTGGATGGGGAGCTCAAGGGGAGACAAATGAGTCCATCTGCCTGTCCATGCCCTCTATGGCGGGCAGTGTTGGTGCTGTAACAACCTGCCTCCAGCCAAGACGTGTGCAAGGATGTGGGGGGCTGTTGGTGGCAACTCTGATGTTCATTATGGTGTGGGCTGCGAGCACCGGTGAGGTCTGTATGTGCTTTCTCTTCCTTTGCACCCAACCCACCTCAGCCCCCCGACCTGCAACAGACCTCCACCATCCCCTCCTGCCCTGCTGTCCCGCCGCCCGCACCCATGGCACCCCTCCAGCCGCTCAGGAGAGGGATGGAGGGCACGGCTGAGTGGCTTTCCCTGCAGCTCCTTGATATTTCCCCCTTCCTCTTGAGACAAGAGAGAGCAAGAAAAGAAAACCA